CAATGGTTCAAGTTAATTACACAATACTACTTATACAGTATTATACAATGATACTGTTCCAGCTTACATGAAATTTGACTTAAGGAGAGACCTTGGGAACGGAAGTTGTTCTTAAACTGGGGATTACCTGTATATCTCAACCCAAACTGGTAGTATTATAATTTATCTACTGGGCTGTAAGTATCAGCTTCTATTTTCTCTATAATAAAGTCAGAGCTTTTGCTGGGGCAAACATGTCCTTGTTATTGAAAAGCTGCTTCCAAAGCTAGAACAGCTGGCTTTCTGAAAGGGATAATCATTCTATAACAAACCAGTTCATATACACAATGGCATATATCTGATTAAACAAGTTTCAATAAGATACGCAATATCAGAGAAATATTACCAGTTGCCATAGTAAAATGAGAGACTACTAATTAATCCTGGCTGGGTACTGAACGTTCTTGTATTATACCATGCATTGTAGTATTTATCAAATGCCAAAAGTCTCTGAAATTGTGAAATGCTAGGTACAATAATGGGATGAGGAATATCAAGTTGCCCACTGACTAGTCCATGTTACTGGTATCTTTCTGGATAGAAAAAGGTGTGTGACATGGCAAGAGAACAGGGCAATTTACAGAAAAAATTGAAGGAATGTCTAAATAGATAAGAGAAGAGTTCCTAAGACTGTTAGTCAAAATGCAATTGTGCAAGCAATCCCAAAATGGAGGACACGGGCTGGAGGAGTAATACTTTGCTCACAATTAAATCCTTCTCCTTAATTAGCAGACTATTTCTTCAACTGGTTTTATGACTGAGTTAAGATGATCTTGAAAAGCAGGGTCAGACCAGGAGATCACCAGGAACTTCCAGGGGTGAAGATTAAAATTGAAAAAATAAATTAAAAAAACCCTTGCCTGCAGGCAATAGGAAATCACTTCCATATTGGTGCCTACTAATGGACATCTCCATGAAGTCACCAGGAGTCTTCAATTTGCTCTTCATATCACATCAGCTTTCTTCCCTTCTAGTTCATATTTGAGATGCTGCTATTATTCCTTGATCAAAGCCTGGGACAGTGATAGTTGATGTCATCATGTATTACAGTAGGATCAAGCTATTTTATGGAGCTATAAATGTAATTTTTAGTTTGCACTTTTGACCCCAGTGGAGCCCCTTCCCAGTTTATTCATTAAAAAAAAGAATGGAACAGGAGGAAGAGGAAGAGAAAAATGTCTAAAGCATGGCTAAGCTACAGATTGACTGCTAAGCCATAAATAAAAGTACCTCATATTCCGGCTGATTTACTACTCCTTGTGAAATCAGTGTTTCAGCATACTTCTGTAGCACAGGCTTCTGCTTTCGGATCTGCTTGTACATCAATGGCTGAGTGAACATTGGCTCATCCATCTCATTATGCCCATTTCGCCTGTAGCACACCTAGCATGTTTGAAAGGGAGAGAAATCCCATATATTCACTCTTGACCTAAACAATTCATCTTCCCAAATTAAAAAAAAAATTCAAACTCAATAATTATAGGGAAATGCTTGATTGAAGACAGGCATGGGTGTAAAGGGATGACAAATTAGCAGAAATGGAAAGCAGGATTCCCTGAAATGTTATCACAGAAGAAAAACCTTCTGGCTTTGGAAGATTTTACATTTTACATAATCTTCTCTTTCCACCATTCCACAAAGCCCTTTGAAAATGCTCCTCAAAGAAGTGGTGGATATGGCTGAGTGGGGCAAGCTATTTATTTATTTACTAATATAAATACCATTGATTTATGCAGACTCCCAACTATAGCATGGAGGAGATTGTGAAAAAACAGGAATCTTCTGCCCCACTCAATCTCCAATTATTCCTCAATTTCCCACACTACAGTCCATCCAAGACTAAGGTGCACTAGGAACAGTGTCCTCTCAATAATGGCCTTCCATGCAACCCCCTTCCAATAAACCAATACATCAGTCCTTCAGCCCTGCCATTTGGCCTGTTAAAGGCTATCTCTGATTGATTCTAGATATCTCTTCTGAGGCAGTGACCTGTAATTTGTATCTTGTTTTAGTATATCACTTTGGGAGGTCTAATTCTAAAAGCTGGCTTAAAACTACGTACACACAAACATAAATACCACTTACACTTTTCTTTTTTGGAGTAAGCAACATTATATGAAGTGCACAAGGGGGTAAGAAACATTATGCCAAAGAAATTAAAGGCATAAATAAGAAAAGAAAACATAACTAAATCTAGTTTGTAGCAAATCATTCACTACTTCTCCATATATTTCTGTCCTTGCAAACTGTCCTTGTTTCTAACGTGTCTATCTACTACTTCACACTCTGATTTTTGCTCTTTAAACTTACCTCTTCTTGTTGAGGATCTCATCAACTGCATCCAATCACAACTTTCTTAGTGTTCCTCTCAACCCATTCATTCTTCCACTGCATATTTGTTCTGCAATGTGATCCTCATGCATTCTCTCTATGTGACCAAGCCATTTTAGCATATTTCTCTTCTACTGATCAGTCATGTATGCATTCATTTAGAGGTAATTCATTCTAGAGTCTATCTCTTCTGGTTTTTCCACACATATTTCTTAGGTCATGCGTTCATTCTATTCAACTCACTTTCAATTTTCTCTTGACATAGCCAACTCTCATTTCTATATAATAAAGTCCATAGAAGCACACAGATATATAATTATTTTTTCTGCTTTTAGCAAAATATTACCCACCATCTTTCTGCTAGCATTTGCTCATGTTAAAAATGTTCCAATCATCTCACATCTTTAGCAAATGTATTACCAAGGCACCCAAATTCATCATTTTTTAAAGATTGTTTTTATCCCGCCTTTATTATTTTCATAAATAACTCAAAGCGGTGAACATACCTAATATTCCTTCTTCCTTCTATTCTCCCCACAACAAGAAGTCTGTGAGGTGAGTTGGGCTGAGAGAGAATGACTGGCCCAAAGTCACCCAGCTGGCTTTCATGCCTAAGGCAGGACTAGAACTCACAGTCTCCTACTTTCTAGCCTGGTGCCTTCACCACTAGACCAAACTGGGTCTCTTTTGTTCTAGTTTTTCACCACTTACACACCTCCATCATTCAAAGCATTCAAACAACCAAGGGACATTTATTATCATTTACCTATGATAATAAACTCCAAATTTTCAACATGGATACCACAAGATACCTATATTGTTTTGTAAATTTCTTAAATAGCCCATTATATAATCCCAACTAAATTTATCAGTACGTCAGAAGAATTAGTACTACCTACCAGATCCACCACTACATCTTTGTGGAAAGTACTTCGCCATTCAGCTGCCACATTGCACACATACACCACAGCCTCTGGATCATCAGCATTGACATGGAAAATGGGTGCATTAACTACACGAGCCACATCAGTTGGGTATGGAGAAGAACGGGCCATACGAGGATCAGTAGTGAAACCAATCTGAAATGACAATAGAAACCATTTTAAAAAATGACCATAAAGATAATACAAACTACATGAGGATTCAATATATCATCGACTCAAAATTCTTTAGGTGATAAGTGGAAAAGTTAGTTAAATACTGAAGGTGTAAGGAAGCTGTTTCCAAACCACTTTTGCAGAATATTCCTTACTGAGGATGATGTGTATATGTAAGAATACTGAGACTTTAGTATGAGGCATGGATTTTAAAAGGTAATTTCTCCAATCCTGAAAAGAACAGTCAGAAGATGAAAAGAGCGCTTAGGCTGAGTCCTAGGAGCCAAGAGATGCATTCTGTGAAAAATCTAATTTTGCTGACAATTCTAAAAAAATGTTAACTATTCTTTCTGGAAAAGGAAAAAATTAAACTAGCCTTAATTACATTGATGTGCATTGCAGAATAACTAGATGTGACAAGCTTATCTCCAGGAGACACCTGGTCAATCAGCCATATTATCAGTTCTTCTGGTCATGTCCAAACCAGTAAAAAACAAGCTTCCCAGATAATGATTCAATCAAGCTATGGTGAAGTACTTCTGAACAATAATCTTTCTTCTTCCTCTTCCCTCACAATGTCCAGAATCCTTTTTTGTTTTGGTGAGTTAAAGCTAATCAAGGTATGCTCTATCCTTTGTTTCCTTTGTTGCTAGTTCTATACTTGCAGTTTCCCAAGACTAGCAACTTGGCGTTCACCCTGCTGTTTGGAGAACTCTTCATTCTTATTCAAACAGCAGTGAATGTCCTAGAACCCTAAAGCTGTTCTTTCCTACAATCTTTCCAGAGAGACTGTAGCTTAACAGAGAGAAGCCCAAGACTACTGCTTTCCTGTTCCAAAACCCTAGAGGTTTTGGACACAGCTGTCCACACAGCTGTCAAGATAGAACTGAAGGGAAGTTTCTCAAGGACTATCATGAAAAGGCATTACAACAATGAGGGTCTCACCAAGGAAAGATAAGAAAAGGAATTATAGAGCTTTGGAGTACAAGATGTAAAACCTTTATTTTATACCGAAGTTTCAGGTAGCAGCAACCCAATAGGGCCCCTATTCCATAAGAAGTTCCATCCCCCCAAATTGCTGTGACAAAAACAAACTATTCAGCATAAATTGTCCCCTCCAAGAGGTTTTCATTAGCTACAAATATCATCAGAAGCTCATAAAAACAGTGCAATGTGCAGATCTATCACTTAGTTTCACAATCATTGGTATTAAAATTCTCTGTCAAATCAGGAAGCAAGAAATGTGAGTTGGACTTGGACATTCCAAATTCTTGGCTAACCATAGGAAATCAATCTTCATCTGACAAGTTTAACACTGAGTTGAATTTGCTTCAGTTTTTATTCTCTCTCAACTCTTCAATCACTTAAAGGTAAATAAATTTAACCAAAACACTATCTTTAACGTTCCACTAAGAATGCAAATAATAGGAAACCAAAGTAGCTCCTAATCTGTTGCTTGTTCTTGGTAAAAATTATCATAGAAAAGTTAGTTAGAGAATCTGACATGGTAACAAAAGAATATGTATTTTACCTGGTTATTCACCACTACATGAACTGTCCCATGTGTTGTATAGGAAGGCAGGTCACTCAAATGGAAAGTCTCGTAAACGATCCCTTGACCAGCAAAAGCAGCATCTCCATGCAAAAGGATTGACATCACCTTTTCAGACCAGAACAAATGAAAGACGTACTAATAACTTTGGAGCATTAGGTGTCAAAGTGGCTGAAAAGGGAAGTACTCACAACAGTTTGTACTATTTTGCCATTGTAAAAACAAAAGGAAAAAGAAAAACTTTTTTGGACACTCACATGCATAAAACAGCAAAGAAAAGAACAAAGGAGAAGCTATCTTATATATGCCAGCTTACTTTCTTCCCTTCAGTGTCCCCACAGTAAAACTGTTCCGCCTTTGTTTTGCCCTGAACAACAGGATCAGCAGCCTCCAAGTGAGAAGGATTTGCAACCAGTGAAAGAGTGATGGTCCTGTCAGTGACACGGTTAATCCTTCGGTGATACATTCCCAAGTGGTACTTTACATCCCCTGAACCCTGAGAAAAGAGAATATTATGAATATTCTGGAATACATTTTTTTCTGTGAATTTTTAGAGCTTCATGATGGCTACTTTGCAATTTAGAAGGAAATAAACACAGATCCAAAATACATTCAGTTAAAGTATAAAATTCAAATCAGAATTAAGACAGCAGTGGGGTTACTACTTAAACTCCTGATACTGGTGTTCACTTCGGGTTATATTGATAGGATTTAGCAAAATAAATCTAGTTAGAATGAGATACTGGCATGAACAGTATCAGAAATGTTACTCAGTCAGTAGATGGCATTAATATTTACTGCCAGGAATCACACATTTTTATCATTTTTGCACTCAGCTGTTTAAGTCATCTGAGGTGGTTTCAGCATTTACCCTTTAAGCTGAACGGGAACCTCATTCTTGACATTCAAGAGCAATCTTGAAAAAGCATGATAGAAGAGTAAGAAAACTGCAGGGAGGGTACAGTAGACAAAGATCCCCTGAACAACTGGAAAAATGTTGGAGGCACATTGTTGAGATCATACCCGACTTGCTTCAGTGGCAGACACAGAAGTTGTCGTTGTCTTCAAAACTAAGTACAACAGTTACTAACTAATATGAAGAAAGTTTCTGTCAAGTAAAATATATAACCCTGGCATAAATTGAGCAACTCACTTCATCCGCAGCTTCTAGTTTAGAATCAAACTGGCAGAAAATTTGCTCCAATTCTTTTCTGATAACATTGGCAAGGACATTCAGACGCCCTCTAGAAAACCAAAACCATATTTAGTCAGATACTACACGGAATACATTCAGTCTGCTATAACAGAGATAATAATTCTGATTTAAACAAGGCTTTGATTACTATTTTGTATACCTCTTTATGGCAACCCTATGTCATATCAACATCGTTCTCATTTGAAAAAAGTGGGGCATTGGGACTGAAAAAAAAGCAAAATCACAAAAATGAACCACAGGAGGAATATAGCACAGAATGTTTTGACTCAAATACAGCTTAAAAGCCGGCATAAACTCTCTTCACAATTTCACTCTCTTCAACCAGTTTTCTCTAAGCACAACATTACCTGTGGGGCATTCCCATGATAACATAATCCACTCCTTTCTCACTTGACTTGTCAATTATTGTCTTTAAAGCAGGAATCAGAACCTCACAGCCTTCCAAACCAAACCGCTTCTCAGAAGACCACTTTCTGTGCAGGAACTCCTCAAACCTGGAAAACAGAAATGTCTTTAAAGACAGCTGTCACGTAACCTGTATGAGTCTCTGGGCTCTTCTGCAAAGCCATGTTAATGTGCTTCCCTCCTGTTCTTGTGAGGAGAGTATATGGATATAAACTGTGCTGCTCTTATAGCCTATCTTACTGCATCTCAGGAACGAGGCTGGGCAGTGATGCTGCCCTTACCCAATGAAATGTGGAGTAGCTTGAGGATACTGATTAGTGGATTCTCTGCTGTCCTTCCTCCTCCCCCTGCCCCAAGTGACACCTACCAGCAGGAAAACTAACCACCATTTGCATTTCTGAATGCGTGATGTGCTGGGTGTCAAGCCTTTCTACTGACAAGACTATTCATAGATGCTGTCACCTAGAGGTCATCCAGTGAATGTAGGCTGGAATTAGAATTGGCATCTATTAAATAGTTTCACAGAACTATTGATCCCCTGGGAGATCTACAGTCCTGTAAAAGAAGTAGGAGATCAATATACCTATGCCAAACAGACCTCCACCCTCCAAAAAAACCCTCTGAAAATTCCTAATAATTCTTCCCTGGAAATAGTCCTCTTTAGTCATTTTTGTTTGAAATATTTTTTTATTAGAGTACACTAAAAGATAATACAAACTGAAATCAGGGAGAAAGAAGAGAGTAGAAAGAAAAGATATACAAAGTGCAAAAGATGAAAGAAAAAGACAAGAAGAAAGAAGAAGAGAGAA